GTTGCACGACGTGATGCGACACCGTCGCATACAATTTTTTTTTCCGTTAAACACAAAATTATATGCAACGGTGTCGCATTTTAACATGTCGTGGGACACCGGCTAGATTACCTACACGTATCCACTTCAAGAAATTTGAACCCTCGTCATAATAGCCGGGCCCACAGAGATGAAGCTAATCCCACCGTTCCACAGTGCTAAGAGCTAGTGTCGCACGGCGTGCTAAAATGCGACACCGTCGCATACAATTTTTTCCGTTAAGGAACCAAATAATATGCGGCGGTGTCGCATTTTAACACGCCGTACGACACCGGCTAGATTACCTACACGGATCCACTTCAAGAAATCTGAACCCTTGTCATAATAGCCGGGCCCACAGAGATGAAGCTAATCCCACCGTTCCACGTTGCTGAGAGCCGATGTCGCACGGCGTGCTAAAATGCAACACCACGGAAAAAATTGTATGCGACGATGTCGCATTTTAACACGCCATGCGGCACCGGCTAGATTACCTACACGTATCCACCTCAAGAAATCTGAACCCTCGTCGTAATAGTCGGATCCACAAAGATGAAGCTAATCCCACCGTTCCACGGTGCTGAGAGCCGGTGTCGCACGACGTGCTAAAATACGACGCCGTTGCATACAATTGTTTTCCGTTAAGAATAAAATTATATGCAACGGTGTCGTATTTTAACACGCCGTGCCACATGCCAAACAGGTCTATCTGCTTCAGCAATTCCAGAATAGAGCTGGTGGAGCAGAAATAGAAAAACTGGGGCAGTGGAGGAGAGCCGAACCAAAGACAGGCAAATAGCCAAAGCCATTGCAGTGCAGTGCGCAGCCCATCATTTCTTCCTTCCATGTCACGGGGGGAATCAAAGCACACATTCCCATCACACCACACCAGTATACCGCTCCATGGCAGGCATGCCCCGCTTCCCATGCCCCGCCTCTCTCCTCCTTTCCCTGCAGTCGCAGTCACAGCTGTGACGTGTCCAGTTCAGTCGCTTCAGCGTTCACAAGCGCGTTCACCCTCCTGCAGTCCTCCCACCTCGCAAGCTTGCTCACTTCTGTGTAGTAATCCTCAGCAACCTCGTGGGGACTGGGGACATCGTTGCCGTTCCCGGGCTCGGCAGCCGCCGCAATGCTGGCGCAGGTGCTGCTCGTGCACCTGCTCCTCCTCGCCGCCACGTCCTCGGCGGACCATCACCGCCATTACTGGGGCAGAAGGGCGCTGCACGAGCCGCTGTTCCCTCTGGAGAGCACGCCCGCGCTGCCGCCGCCACCGCCCGCGCCGTTCTTCCCGTTCTTGCCAGGCGCCGCGGCGCCGCCGACGGTGACGCCGGAGGCTGGCTCCGCCTCCACCCCGGCGGACACCGGCGCGGGTGACGCGTCGTCCTCCTCCTCGTCGCCGCACCCCACGGCGCCGGCCAACATTTCGTCCTTGGCCGCGCTTCCCGTCTCCTCCCACACCGCGCCGCTGCGGTCCTTCCTCTCCTCCCACCGCCTCCTCACCGTCCTCGTCCTGGTCGTCGCCGTTGCTGCGGCCGTGCTCACCGCCGCGCTCGTTTACATCCTCGCCCGCCGCCAACGTCGTCACACTCCCAAGGAGGAACCTGCAGTGTACACAAAGCCCTCCTCGCTTGTACCGGTCAACCCTGTACTCTACGATGGTGGCGACCAGCATGGCCGTGGCTCGACGGCCACCGTCTCCAGCACCAGCTCGCCGGAGCTCAGACCGATGCCGCCTTTGCCACGGCAGTTCCAGCAGACGCGGATGAACTTGCCGTCATGCTCAAAATCCGTTCTTGACGCCGGAACAGGAGGTAAACGAGCATCAGAGGGTGCTCCTCCTCCGCCGCCTCCTCCACCGCCTCCTCCAATGCCACGGGTGAAAGACAAGTGCGACGCCACAGCAGCAGCAGCCCCTCCGGCGCCGCCACCTCCTCTGCCGCGAGCCGGCAACGGAAGCGGCTGGTTGCCCCGGCGGCACTCCGAGCGCCCAGCGACCACGGTGATCAGGGCCTCGGCGAGCGCAGTTCACCCAGAAGAGTCTCCAGGGCGCACGCCGCCAGAGAAACAAGCGGAAGCGGACGCGGACGCGGCTGCTCTGCCGAAGCTGAAGCCGTTGCACTGGGATAAGGTGTGCGCGAGCTCTGGCCGACCGACGGTGTGGGATCAGCTGAAGGCGAGCTCTTTCCGGTGAGGCCGTGTCCGTTCTTGTGTATTGGCATTGCTTGCACTCGACTAGAGTTACTGCCATGATAACTTAACGTGCTTCCATTGTTTACTCTTTCAAACTCTTTCTGCATGCGAATAGAGTGAACGAAGAGATGATTGAGACATTATTCGTCTCAAATTCGACATGGAGATCGTCCAAGAGTGGAACCAAGGGGCCAAATTCCAGTTTGTGCAGCCAGGAGAACAAGGTCCTCGACCCGAAGAAATCACAAAACATTGCGATAATGCTAAGGGCGCTCAATGCGACCAAGGAAGAAGTGTGCAAGGCACTCTTAGATGGTGAGTACACTGAGATGAGATAATCCTAATACATCTATCATTCTGTAAACAAGCATCCACAGAACTTTTCAAGCATCCACAGAACTTTTCCTCTGAAACATTCAGCTTCACGAACATTTGCTTGTACTACCATTATCGGAAGCAGGGCAGGCAGAAAGCCTTGGAACTGAGCTCTTGGAGATGCTGCTGAAGATGGCGCCTAGCAGGGAAGAGGAGATCAAGTTGAAAGAATACAGGGAGGATGCTGTGTCTAAGCTTGGCCCTGCTGAGAGCTTCCTCAAGGCGGTGCTCGCGATTCCATTCGCTTTCAAGAGGGTGGAAGCGATGCTGTACATCACCAACTTCGATTTAGAGGTCGACTACCTCAAGACCTCCTACAAAACTCTTGAGGTAGTAATCTTTACGACTTCACCAGCATAGTTCCATTGAGAGACTTGAATGCTTAAGAACACAGAAATGAGGTGTGCCATAACAATGGTTCTAAATCAGATTTTAGGACTGCTGTTCATTTATGTGATGCATTCTTTCAGATCATTTTGCTTCCCTACACTCTATCTCCATATAGCCGTGACAGTATGTTTGTCCTGATGGGTAAATGAACGACTTGGGGACAGATTGACAGTTCTATGAGCAACGAATCAGCGTTTCAGAATTCTCTATTACTTAGGAATTTATCACCGAAGTCTAAATCTCATTTGCATAAGACAAGAAATGCCAAATGCCTGATCAAAATTCATCTCGTTATCCTGTTTATTTGGAAATAAAGTAGCACAGACAAATTGCTGACATTTGTTGTCATTTCAGGCAGCATGCGAAGAGCTGCAGGGCAGCAGGTTGTTCCACAAGATATTAGACGCAGTCCTGAAGACCGGTAACCGCATGAACACCGGCACGAACCGTGGAAACGCCCATGCCTTCAAGCTGGACGCACTCCTCAAGTTAGTCGATGTAAAGGGTGCAGATGGCAAGACGACTCTCCTACACTTCGTCATCGAAGAAATCATCAAGTCTGAAGGAGCTAACATTTTAGCCACCGGCCAAACATCTGACCAAGCGAGTGCCCTTGCAGATGATCTGCAATGCAAGAAGGTAGGCCTGAAAATCGTTGCAAGCCTTTGCGGTGAGCTCAACAGTGTCAAGAAGGCGGCAGCAATGGACTCCGACGTGCTGGCCAGCTGCGTCTCCAAACTCTCCTCCGGCGTCAGCAAGATCAGCGAGGTCCTGCACTTGAACCAGCAGCTTCTCGGTTCCGAAGACAGCTGCAAGAGGTTCCGCGCCTCCATTGGCGAGTTCCTGCGAAAGGCTGAGGCCGAGATCGCCGGGGTGCAGGCTCAGGAGGGCCGCGCCCTCGCCCTCGTCAGGGAGACGACCGAGTTCTTCCATGGCGACTCGGCCAAAGAGGAAGGCCACCCGCTGAGGATCTTCATGGTGGTTCGCGACTTCCTCACGGCCCTCGATCACGTCTGCAAGGACGTTGTGAAGATGAACGAGCGGGCAGCGGCCGGTGGGTCGTCGCGGCGGGTGGGGAACATGCACGTTCCTCCGGTGTTTAACGCGGTGCGATCCACCAGCTCGTCGGAGGAGAGCTCGTCGCCCTAGCCGTTGGGATGCAGCACTGATTGTCTGAGCAGGAATCTGCATCTTGTTGTCTAGAAGAACAGCAGTGCAGGCTCCTACGTAGTAGGACCATGATATACTACTAAATATTTTGTACCTGGAGGAGATAGTTTGTAAAGTAAAACCTATGATTCAGCGTGATGAACATCGTCCTGCCAATGGCCTACCAAAGGTGAAAGTGGCATTGTACATGATTCTGCATGCTGAGCGCTACTGTTGGATGTGAGCTTTTGAGCAACTGATGATCTAGCTCAATCTCATGCTAAATAGTAGATAGTACTATCTTGTCGTTAGCTCTTGATAAAAGCATTGGACAAGTTTAATCTGTTTTGAGGGTCCTGTTCTGACGGAATTCTCACTATAACCACCCTCTGCTTTTCACATACTAGTTTTATTTTACTTTATACTTCCTGAGCAACTAAATAAGCTTTTACAGCATGCTGAAATGAACGCACTTGCTGAATTGACTACAAAAGATGCATAAAGCGAATTGATCATCGCAACGTGCTACACCGACGACCGTTTGGCAAAGCGATGATGCAAAAGGCAATTGAAAAAAAGGGACACGTGGAACGGCCATTGTACCGTTTCAAGAGCAAATAAAAATAAATTAATAGCACGAAGATGGTGCTTTCTCTAAAGAACATTTTGAGTCTCGAGGAGTATGTTATTATACGCAACATGCGGTCTGTATAAAAAAAACACAAATAGTACCATGGAGCTACAGCTATGCCGTCTATTGCCGGCGTGTTACTTATCTGCTGATAGCTGCTGTTCAAATCGTCGCTAAATTCACCGTTAGCTGGTACGTGGTATATATCAAGTAAAGTACGTCCGAAACAAGTGGATCTGCGGAAGGATTAGTTACATAAACCCTCTGCCTCCATGCGCTCCAATATCCGCCGCGCCTCTTCTTCCGTTGAGGGAACAACATTGCGAATCTTCAACCCGTTCTTCAACATGCCACCACAGACCGTGAAGGTGAAATGAAACGTGTTGGAAACCTGTTCGTTGGACAACATGGTCAGCAAATCATCTAAGCATTCAAGAAAAAGGATTTCAGGGTGGAGCTTATGCAAGGCAAGTAGCATCCGTGGTAAACTAAGTGGGATTCTGGGATTACCTCACTTTTCCGGAGCTCAGGTCTTGTTACATGAGCGACAACTTCAACGTTGACCAGGGGCTGCTCTGGATTGTCAAGCTGGGTATACAAGACACATGATTTGAATCGAAGGAAGTCCCCTACATCCACCTGTGCAAGCACAGCGACATGTTTATACCTATTGCTGATAGAAAATGAATTTGTAGTTTCAGAAAATATATAACATGTTCATTTGTGGACACTACCAATTTACATAGGAAAATATGGCCCAATATTTCAATACCAGTTACATTTGCGTTGTTCATATTGCTGAAAAGAATATGCTATTCACTTACTGGTTTCAAGAAGTCAACATGATCGACTTCAAGGAAACAAGGTCTCTGCCCAACAAAAGCATATGCGGTTGAGAAGGCAAGCTCAAATGCTCGGTGCATCAAGAAACCCCAAATATTCGACCATGCAAGTTTCGTTGCTGTGGCTGGCAGACAAGAGAGTTCTCCAGACGGGTATCCTTCAGCAAGATGCTATCTCTATCAGCTAAAGCAGGCAGATCAGAGAAAACACGACCCTCTCACGAGCAACACATCCAGCCTCTCAGCCTCAGCACGGAGCTTATGTATCCCATTTTCAAGTCCTCCTTCTGTTCTTCTCTCTTCCTTTTCTCATCTTATCACGTGCTTCTCTTTCTCCAAATAGTTGCTTCTCCCTTTCAGTTTCAGGTGAAAGGCGGTTCACTGGAGCAGATTTTCCGGTCTTGGAATCACGAGCAACAAAGGTGAAGTTAGCGGTCAATGCAATGGGATCAGACTGATTATCACCATCTGTTGCAACATAACCACATTTGAGACAAGTCAGTTAAAGAAAAGCAGAAAACAAAATCTACCATATGCATCACTTGGTTCAAATCAATTAAGAGCTAGATCAACATTCAACTGAACCAGTAATACCTTTATCAACCTGAGTCACTTCAATCTGTATGTCAATTGATGAGCGCCCAACATAAGTAACAGCTCCAGCTATGTTCAAATCAGTGTCCACACGAATTGGCTTTTTCAGCTCCATTTTGTCAACAGAAGCAGTCACAACCAAAAGGGGTCTTGTTGTGCTATCTTCATCTGAACAGTGCTGCATGTAAATCAAGTTGTCAAGAAAATCCGAGCAGGATGCCAAAAGATACTATCATACTACCCAGGAGCATAAGAATCGGGAAGCAAAGAGAAGACAAAATCACACGTCTATCACCCATTGGCATCGCCAAAAATACAGGTCTGTAACAAAGGGTAATACAGAACTTAACCACTCAGTGAGCTAGTCAATGGAATGGTAAGACCAATGTAGCATCTGCTTCCACTACCACACTGGCGCCATTAATTCAACACCACAACTCTCATACCGACAAAGAAATGTTTTATGGTACTAAAGAGCAAAGACCACATTGACAGCCTCACAGGATTCAGATTTCACAATTTCAGTAGCCCATAACTAAACAGTTTGCAAGATTCATTACAATAAATTTCATTAAACCAATATTTCTTCATGAGAACAAAGCAACAAGCTCCCAAAAAATATAGCGGCAACTTATAGAGGCCGTTTAAACAATCTGGTGCTATTGCTCAGTCAATAAGTGTAACGCTTCAATGAACCTGCTTCACTTATGTTGTTGAGGGAGTCAGGGAGACAGTTCCATCATTTTACTAGTGTCTTATGTCAGTACGAATTGTTCTGGTCTGATGCCAGAAACCATGAACCATTATCGTCTCAACTCAACTGAACCAGCCCCAGAAAGGAAATTGTTAAACTGCGGAGTGTCTAGACTCTACATTTTAAGATTTTCATAGGTGCATCTACTTCAAAATTGTGATTCTGTTAGCAATTCAAAATCATGAAATTGGCACACGTGCTCCCTAGCATACACGATGGGTTTAATTTAACAAATTAAGGCATGGAGCCAGGTGGTGGGCACCAATTCATCCGCTGATGATGTCAAGTCAAAGATGACCAAATCATAAGCAAACACCGGGAATAACTAAAACTCTGATGAATACTTGCAGCAGACGTACACTTATCTCTCTCTTACCGATCACACGTGCTACTAGGAGACACGCAACGCAAGAAAGAAGGTCGAAATGAGTACCGCACTAGGCGTTACCTTGACGGCGATGGTGCCGGCGAGGGCGTCAAGATCCTCGAGCAGCTTGCCGATGCGCGCCTCGTTCCAGGGGTCCCGGTACTGCTCCCGGAGGATGTCGTCGGTGGCGAACTTGTACACGATGCTGGTCCGGCTCTGCGCGGGCGTCTTGACGAGCAGCTCCGTCTGCGGCCGCTGCTCGGCGGAGGAGGTGGCGCCGCCGTTCCCCGCGTCCATCATCCGCTCGAAGATGCTGGACCGCGCCTCCCAGAGCGCGTTGGTCACCGGGGAGTGGTACATCCCGGGCCACAGGCTCAGCGGCCTCCGCGCCGACTTCCCCGCGTCGATCGCCGCGCCGCCTCCCTCTCCCTCTCCCCCTCCTCGTCCGGCCCCCAGGTGGGAAACCACCTTGATTGGCGAATCCATGGGCGGCGGTGGTGGTTCCTGGCCCCGATCTCCCGAGGCGGTCGAGGAGGCGCGTGTTGGCTGGGAAATGGGGATCCCTGAGGATGGTTCGAGGCCGATGGGGCCGAGGGGTGTCGGGCTTGGCGAGGTGACGCGGCGGAGGAGGAGGGTTCTGGAGAGCAGCGACGTCGCTGTCAGCCTCGTGGTCATGGGTACTTGGCCGCGGATGCGGGGCTCCGAGTCCGGCCTTGTGGGAAGGTGGGTGTGGGGTAGAAGGAAGAGGGGCAGGTGAGCCACGGCTTCCTCGAAACATTTTTTTCGCGTTGAGCCCTCGACTGCGATCGGAGTCAGACGGTTGGGTAGTTGGGTGCGTCGGTGGCTCGGTACCGGTAGAAATGGGCCGCAAAAGGCCGAGAGGTTGAGCTGGGGTACTGCTGCTAGAGTGAATTTGGTCCACGAGGTTGAAAAGGCCTGGCCTAATGTAGGGCCCATGTGGTTGCCTGCCGCTCAGACGCTGATGAAACATTTCTCAGCTACACACTACATATAGAAGAAACATTAACACCTGAAGAAAGAAGAAGGTATTTTTTGACACAAAAAATAAGAAAGACTTGTGTTGTGATCGGACACTGTAAATGCATTCGTCATATGGATTTGAAAAACAAGAGCGAAGAACATGAACAAATATTGTAGATGCAACAAAGCTTGTAAAAAAGTCATAGGTCAAGATGTCGCCTCCTTATGCTGCCCCGTTCGGCTTACCCCATATTCGGCTTGTTTGGCTTCTTTTTTCAGACGGAACAGTGTTTTTCTCTCGCAATAATTCAGCCAGAACAGTGTTTTTCCAGCCAGTTTCAGCCAAAATTCTGCCAGCCAAACGGGGCCTGCATGTCGATGGGTGTGATTGCTTCTTCTAATTTGTTCAGGCTGTTGGCCTGTTGCTGCAGCTCAAAACTAAATTTTACTGTTCCTTTGCCTGGTGGATGGTGTAGCTGCAGCTGCAGCCAGTGCAAACGAGCAGGCTTGTTGTTCTTGCCCCCTGTTTGAAGGACCTTTGTTTTTTTTTAATCCGAAGCCACAATTCACCTCTATTTAGACTCTGTTACTTGAAGGTCGAATAAATGATAAAGATGATTCATACTACTTGCGACCTTATACTACCTTATACTAACCCTCTTCCAGCCTTCCACCGATGGTTGATTATGCAAGTTGGTAAACTTTGCAAAAGTGAGACTGAAGTACTGAACTCTGAACCAAATGTGGGTGTTTAGCTGATGGCCTGGCCAGTCTACCTGGGTCCGGTGACAGAGCTTGGCAGTAAGTTCAGCGGGGGCAGATAGAGAAATCAAATACCACATCCATTCCAACTTATAAGATATTTTAACTTTTCTAGATACATAATGTTTTCTATACATTTAGATATACACTATGTTTAGATATTTAGAGAGAAAAAATCAATGAATCTATAAAAATCAAAATGTCTTATAATTTGAAACGGAGGGAGTAAATTAGTAAGGAAGAGCTTGCCATTTTTAAGCTCATTCGTGAACATCACAAATGAGCAGGGGGGCCAACGTCTAAATTGCTGCCTGAGCCTGGTCGACAGCAGGTATGCCAAGTTAGTGACCAACCAGACCATACGTGCGTGCGACGAAGGGGGCTCGGCCAGAAACAACCGCCCCATTCGTTTGGGCTTATTTGACTGATAAGCCATGATTGAAAGTACTGTTGGCTGGTTTGTTGTGAAAGAGAAATATTATTCGTTGGCTAATAAGCCACGTCTTAAAAGTCAAATACAATCAAGGGAACAGGCTGAGTGCGGTGGAAAACCAAATCGCCGGGAAATCGCCTGATGCCGACCGCCTTGCTTGGAGTTGAGCAGCCGCGACCGGATATGCATCGGCGGCGTACGTAGACCGCGACCGCTATGTTCTTTTGTCGTGGGCGAGTGAACACAAAATGAAGCATTTTACTGCTTACTGCAATATGCACATCTTGGTTTCTAAAAAATCTTCACAGGTACTGCTGTATGTATAGTATATGTTCAGAGGGTTCTCCATCTATAGTCGCCATCGCGGTGACAACTGCAGTAAAATTTGCGTTGGCGACTGCCATTTGTAGTCGCGATCGCGCTCAGTTGCTGACACGCAACGGGCAGAGCTGTGCACTAGTATATCTAGTCATCTAGATCAATCTTTCTACACGGCAGTGCCACAGTACCACACAATCGTTTCCTAAACGCAAGTAGACACTAGGGTCACTAGATAGCTAGCCAAGACACGGGCATGGGTTCCTACGCCGGCGAGAACGAGCCGAAAGCCGCTGCCGCCGCCGGCGGAAGCCACGTGCTCCTCCTGCCGTACCCGAGCCAGGGCCACGTCCACCCGATGCTCCAGTTCGGCAAGCGCCTGGCGTACCACGGCCTGCGGCCCACGCTGGCCGTCACCCGCTTCATCCTCACCACCTGCGCGCCCGACGCCGCCGCGCTGCAGGGCCTGGGCGGCGCCGGCGCGGTCGGCCTCGCGGCGGTCTCGGACGGCTTCGACCGCGGCGGCTTCGGCGAGTGCGGCGACGTGACGGCGTACCTGTCCCAGCTCGAGGCGGCCGGGTCGGAGACGCTGGGCGAGCTCCTCCGGGGCGAGGCCGCGCGGGGCCGGCCCGTCCGGGCCGTGGTCTACGACGCGTTCCTGCCGTGGGCGCAGGGCGTGGCGCGGCGGCACGGCGCCAGCGCCGCGGCCTTCTTCACGCAGCCGTGCGCCGTCAACGTGGCGTACGGCCACGTGTGGTCCCGCCGGCTGCGCGTGCCGGTGGATGGTGGGGCGGTCCTCCGGCTCCCTGGCCTGCCGGCGCTCGAGCCGGATGGCCTGCCGTGGTTCCTCAAGGTCGGGACCGGCCCGTACCCGGCCTACTTCCAGCTGGTCATCCGCCAGTTCCAGGGGCTGGAGCAAGCCGACGACGTGCTTGTCAACTCGTTCTACGAGCTGGAGCCCGAGGTGAGCTGCGTGCGCGCTTGTTTGTCCCTGTCGCTGCCGTGCATACTAGCTACATGAGTTCATGTGCAGCCGTAGATGCATGCATGCTTCCAAGTTCCACACACAGATATCGTTTGAGTCTGTCTACTAAGCATGTGTTTTATGTAATTTCAACATATAATTTTTTTTGCAAGATTAAGATCTAAGAGCCTCCATCTTTCTTCTACCTTCAGACAATCACAGATCCACAGATCACATGAAACATTTTTTTTTCTATGGAAGGACAAATCACAGATCCGCCGCCACCACCGCTGCAGGTCACGGTCGCTGCAGGTAGTCACCGCCGGCGCCTAGGCTGCTCGCCTCCGCCTTTGCGTCGCTCAACGCTCCTCCCAGGATGCTAGCCGTCCGCTCGCTGGAGCCGCGTCCGCTCGCCCGCCGCGTCCGCTCGCCCGCGCTGCGCGTTCGCGTGCTAGTGTGCGCTCACCCGACGGCAGCCGCGCTCGCTCGCTCGCGTGCTGGTGCTGGTTCTCCGCTACCGCGTGCGCTCGCCGTGTGCGCGCCGGTGAGAAAGAGAGAGATAAAAAAAAATCCATATGCTTTTTTTATGCTAAAACACATATGTATTGTATAGTTTTTCTGTATCGTTTTAAGTTGTATCTTTCTTTTTTTTTCCCTCAACTTCCACACACCACGCATTTGCACCTTATCGTGAGAATCATGCGAATCGATGCTCACTAGTGTGTACTCGATGCAATGCAACCATATCCTAGCGAATACCCGGTTCTCGAACAGATGTGTCAAGTTGGTCCCCCGCCTTAGTCCTGAGTCCTGACAGCTATGTCGGGAAAATATCTTGGCCGAGCTGGGCCAGCCATGTCGATCGACGACGTTGGCATTTGCACTAACGCAGCAGCGTACATGGCGTCCACTTGCAGGAGGCGGAGTACATGGCGTCGGCGTGGCGCGCCAAGACGATCGGGCCGACGGTGCCGGCGTCCTACATCGGCGACGACCGCCTCCCGACGGACACCAAGTACGGGCTGCACCTCTACGAGCTGACCGCCGCGCCGTGCATCGCCTGGCTGGACACGCACCCGCCGCGCTCCGTGGTGTACGCCTCCTTCGGCAGCCTGTCCGACCTCGACCCGCTAGAGATGCGGGAGATCGCTCACGGCCTCCTCGACGCCGGCCGGCCGTTCCTCTGGGTCGTCCGCGCGTCCGAGACCCACAAGCTGCCCGCGGGCTTCGCCGAGCAGCAGCGCGGGCTGGTGGTGTCGTGGTGCCCGCAGCTGGAGGTGCTGGCGCACCGCGCCGTGGGGTGCTTCCTGACCCACTGCGGCTGGAACTCCACCGTGGAGGCGCTGGTGGCGGGCGTGCCCATGGTGGCCGTGCCGCAGTGGACGGACCAGCCCATGAACGCCTGGTACGTGGAGGCCGTGTGGCGGGTGGGCGTGCGGGCGCGCGCGGCCGCGCCCGACGGCCTCGTGCGGAGGGGCGAGGTGGTCAGGGGCATCGAGGAGGTGATGGACGGCGAGAGGAGTGCCGAGTACAGGAGCAACGCCGACGTGTGGATGGAGAAGGCCAGGGCGGCGAGCAGGGAAGGCGGCAGCTCCGACAGGAACATCGCCGAGTTCGTGGCCAAGTATGCCTAGGACGCCAAGTGATGAGAGAAACAAAGACGCTCGAACCATGCATTATTCCAAACCGCCTTTTGCTACACAGGGTTGTACCAAAACACATCTGGTCTGGTGTCAAAACACACACACACACACATCTGATCTAACTAACCTTACCTGCAACTCTGCATTTCAAAACCTGCAATGTAATGATGTAAACATCACTATTTGGTCCGCTCGTTTATCGGGTCTTCTTGTCTCTTTGTTCGTGATATAGTACAGTGTGAAACCAGTACTGGCCCATTGAAATATCACTGCTATGCTTTTGGGCTTCTAGGCTGTCCAAATTATACTCCAAAGGCCCAAGGTTGCCAATGTCACTTACATGAGCTGGAATTATGGGCCACAAACATCTGCCCTACAAAGGAATTAATGGAAAAAGTCCACAGGATATCCCTCAACTTTTGCGAAAGTCTACTTTTCCCCCTTTAACTCTAAAACTGGGTAAACCACCTCATGAACTTTTAAACCCGTTCGTTTTACCTCCCTGACTTGTTATAAGCGGTTTTCAAAGGCAGTTTTGTCTTTTTTCTTTTTTATTTATTTCGGTTGAATCTTTTAAAAAATCATAGTAAATCACAGAAAAATCATAAAATGAAAATTCTGATTTTGTTGGACTCTAGATGAGTAGATCTACATAGTAAACATATAATATGGTATATTTTAGTACATTTTTTTGCTGTAGCTTTAGATTTATTTAGGTGTATGCTTGTTAAAAAGTATTTATAAATCTATAACTAAGTTATACATGATCCAATGAGTATGAAATTTTTACTATAATTCAAGCATACAATAACTAGCCCACCATAAAATTTTCACCATAATTGGACCATGAAAACTGCAGCTATGAATTAATTACAAAAAAACATAGATCTAAAGTTACAACAAAAAGTTGTACTAAAGCATACCATATTATATGTTCACTGTGTAGATCTACTAATATGGAGTCCAACAAAATTAGATTTTTATTTTATTATTTTATGTGATTTACTATGATTTTTGTAAGATTCAGCCGAAATATAAAAAGAGCAAAAGACAAAACCGCATATAAAAACCACTTATAACGTGTCAGGGAGGTAAAGCGAACGGTTTTAAAAGTTCAAGGAGATGGTTTGCCCGGTTTTAGAGTTTTTGGAGGAAAATTAGACTTTCGTAAAAGTTGAGGGATGTAATATGGACTTTTTTCGGAATTAATCGACAACATCTGTTCACCAATCACGAGCACTTAGGCCTTTGAACGGGAAAAATATACATCTTAGGTGCAAACCTGCAAAAAGTATTTTGGATATTCAAAAATTTTGAAACCTAGTATATCCATAATGAATCCATATATATATAGTACTGCCCTGTAGCTGGCTATAAAATAACTTATTCTATAGCCACTTTGAGTTACGATAATTACTATGTTAATTTATGAGATTATAATAACTCCTTGCTAAGTGGTTTACTATAACGTTATGGTAAATATCCCCATGTGTTATAGTAACCCAACTATCGTAAATGTGTATTGACATTATCGTAAATTAGTATATAAAATTATCGTAAATGGAGGTGGCTACAGAATAACTTATTTTGTAGCTGGCTACTGAATATACTCTCCATATATATATACTTACATGTAAAAGTTGAATCAAACTAGAAAAATCATATAAAATGACAAATTTCATATGTATTTGCACTACAAGACAAAAACCAAAGAATTTTATCTTGTAGTGCACGTGCACATAAATTTTGTTATTTTTTATTATTTTTTCTAGAGTTTGCATCTCAGTTTTTGTATATGAGTACACATATCAATGCACCGTGGATGTACCAAGTTTCAAAAAAATTGAACGATCAAAGTATGATTTTTGAAATGGTTTACATATTTCCACCTAAGATGTGATTTGCACCATATACACCCGTTGAACTACTGAAATCCATGGACAAGTTGAAGTGCAGCGCGTAGTCACGACGTGCTAAACATCGCTCAGCTACAAATTCCACAGTTTATAACCAAATAATAAATAGCAGATAGCGGCTTCATAACGAACTCAGATCGCGACAATGGGTGCTATAGCAGACACTAAGTTCTAATCGTGAAATATTAACAATAACAAGTTTTAGGAGCATATGTCAATACTAATATCATGTTTGCTTAAAATAATTAGAACCTTTTAATTAATTATTACTTTTATAATAACATAAAATCACAAAGAAGCATATAAAATAAAGAAGATATAAAGAAGACACATCACACATGCTCGTATCAATTGAAAATAATACCATTAGTCATTTAATTATTCTTTATGATGGTCTACATCACCATCTTAACATTTGTATTATCATTGGAACCATCTAAATTATCACTTGAACTAGCTATTAAAGATGGCAACGGGCGTGGTGCCCGCGGATACTACCTTCTTACGCCCGCGCCCTCCATCTGCGGGCAATGCCCGTGTGCCCGCCAAGTTGAGCATATACATAAACCATAGTGCATTATAAGAGATATGAAGATACATATTCACAGCAAATCGTGTATATATACATATATTTGCTTGTAGGTCCCAACATGTCAGACCTGTGGAGCGGGTCTGGCGGATACATGGGCGATGATAGCAAATTTCTTTGCCCGCGAAGAACTCTGGGTTCAGGATGGTGCCCGCGCCCATGCCCGTGGGCAAGAAGTGGTGCCCGTATCCTTACCCATCGGGTTTCATGCCCGCGGGCATGCGGACATTCTGTGCCCGTTGCCATCTTTGCTAGCTATTCACATACTCCCTCTGTCCCTTAATGTTGGCCGTTCTAGCTCTGAAAGGTTGTCCCTAAATGTTTGTCATTGACGTACTAATCGAGTCCCCGTATAGGTGTGTCATACTACTAGAGCACTTGCATGTCACCAGTGCAGCAGCCTTTATCTCTTCCCCCTCTCACAACCAAGCATTAATGGCAATGTTCTGCAGCTGGTGAAGGACTATTTTATAGGGTTGTTTAGGCCTTGTCTCATGAATATTGGTCTCTGTGCAGAATGCTTGGGCGACGGACATAAAGGGACGGAGGGAGTAGTGAATAGCGGTCCAACAATAACAATAGAGGATGTTAAGTGCTATAGGGGCCCCTAAGTTTCAACTTGCTATCTTTGACCCGCTGTCTTGTAGCGGTAGCAAGTGATAATTCAGATGGTTAACAAACCAATAATTTTTCCCTGATGTAGTTGGATCGCGTTACAGTTATAACCACATGCTAAATACAATGCGAAGCTTTCAAGTTGTTGCAAGTCGATCACATTTATTCTGAAGGCGGCCTTTCATGACCTTGATGTCGATTATTTGTGGCTCTTAAACTTGGAGAGGAAATCCGAGATGTTGATATCCGAGCTGCCACCACTGTTCATGGCCTTCCTTGCCTTCTTACTCCACTCCAAAGCTTTCAGTCTTAACTCCTCTCACCTTTCCCCTTCCATCACCTGCCACACACACCTCTCCACCTCCTTCCTTGTGACCACTCCATCAGAATCCGGCCGTACCCACACGCCGACGCGCCACACGTCCTGGACGTACTTGGCGTTGTCGGCTGGTCCGACCAGTGCGGCATCGCCACTATGAGCACGCCGGAGCTGATCGCCTCCAAGGTGGAGTTCCATCCGCCGTGCGTCACGAAGCACCCAACCGAGGGGTGCGCCAGAACGTCCAGCTGCGGGCACCACGGCACGACGAGCCCCCTCGCCATTGCCTCGCGGGCGAAGTTCTTGGGTAGCTTGGGGGTCTCCGTGGCCCGGACGACCCACAGGAACGGCATGCCGCTGCTGCAAAGCCCCTCGGCTACTTCCTCCATCTGTCTCGCGCCCAGGGAGGCTATGCTGCCGAAGGAGACGTACCGACGGAGACCGGCGGGTGGGCGTCCAGCCAGGCCTTGCATTCTGTCGCCATTGGGGTGTGGAGGTGGACGCCGTAGGATACGTTGTCGTCATCGTCGTCCGGAAGGTGGTGGTCGAGGTTCACCGATGGCATGTTTGGGCCTACCGTCTTGGCACCCCACGTCGAAGCCAAGTAATCTGCTTCCTGTGAATGAATGTGATATACAGAGGATGGCAATGACATGATGCCCAGTTTCTAAACTAATACATGTCCGCACACACACACACACTTGGTAGCACACAGTACCAGTCAGTGGCACGGCATTTTCAGGCGTGCAGCGTGCAGTATACTCACTCACCTGCGGCTCCAAGTCGTAGAATGAATTGACAAGCACGTGGTCCGCGGTGCCCAAACCTAAGAACTGGCTCGTCAGCAACTCCAGAAGTCCCGGGGGACGGTTCTTGTCAACGAAGAACGTCGGCAGGTCGGTCAGTTGGAGCCGGACAGGCAGCCTCCTCCCTTACCGGCGGGGCTGCCTGTCCGGCCGGCCAGCAGGTGCGAGTACAGCACGTCCACGGCGCACGTCTGCGTGTGGAACGCCGCGCACGCCGCGCCACGCCCTGCTCCCATGGCAGGAACGCGTCGTACACCACCAAGTGCACCGCCCGGCCCAGCTCCGACTCTGACCGGAGGAGTGTAGCCCACTGATCACCGGCACGGGTGAATCGACCACTCACGTTGTCGACCACGACAAACGTTGTCCGACCATACACTATGGCTAGGGATAGAAGAAGAGAGAAAGAACAGAGCATACACACAGCAGAAACACCATCGTTGACCGGAGTTCTACAGAGGAGATGGCAAACCTGAACTCGCTCTCTTTACATGAGTTGCAGTGGCAAACTATATATACAACTCTACCTATCTAGTCTTAGTACAGCTATCATCCTGCTACAGTGACTATATGTGACACTGACTCTGACGTCTGCTCCTACTACGGCTACAATGTGGCAAGTGATCCGTTCCGTGTCTATCCTTGCTGTGGCTAAGATTATCTAACAAGGAGCCGGTCCACCGACCTCGGCCCGGCGAAGTTGAGCCGCTCGAAGTAGGGCCCGCGGTGCCCTCCTACCCCGTCGGGGCCGTTGGCGTCGCATCCGTCGGAGAAGACGGCGACGTGGACCGAGCCGGTGGCCGGCCTAGTCGAGCCGGCGACGAAACGGGTGACCGCCAGAGTGCAACGCACGCCGCTGTGGCCGGCGAGGCGCCTGGCGAAGTGGAGGAACGGGTTGATGTGGCCCTGGGACGGTTATGGCAGTGTTAAGAGTTTACTTCTCCATGGTTCAGAAGATCACAGAGTATGAGTGGATTAACAAGGAGTAGCAACTACATCGAGCAATCGCTCGCCTCTCACGCCTCCGGCACAGCCGGCCTATTCCTTCTTCTTCTCTCCTCCCTTTTCCCCTGCCGCACGCCTCCTTCCTCTTAACAGCTAACACGCTCACTCGATCGTTACGACGTCGTCATGGGCCGACCTTCCACTCTGGGCCTTGATAGCGTGTACTGGGCTTGATCATCCGCCTAGGCCGGCCTGGTACCATTCTTCCTTCCTCTCCATCCGCCATCTTTCCGCCTTCACCCTTGTTGATATCAGCATCTCCAGGTACCGTGACATTCCTCCCATCTTGAGATCCAGCTTGCCCCCAAGCTGGTGCCGCCGGGAAAGTAAGCTTCAGGGCTTGTTCGTCCTCCCAGGTTGCAAGATGCTCGGGCCATTCCGACCAATGAACCAGGATTTGATCAGAACGATGAGGTTCAGTATGACGTCGTTGCAGAATCTTCAAGGGGTACTGGAATGGAGATGGAGCAGGGGGAATATCAGCACTGACCTGCATAGTAGAGCTGACGGCGAGTTTGAGTTGAGAGACATGAAAAACTGGGTGCACTGAAGACTCTGCCGGAAGTTGGAGTTTATAAGCCACAACGCCAATCTTCTGAACAATCTTGAATGGACCAAAATAACGATAAGACAGCTTCTGATTCACTCGATGGGCCAAACTGGACTGAACATAAGGTTGTAGTTTGACAAACACTGATTGACCCACTTGAAATGCGCGTTCAGTCCTGTGTTTATCAGCTTGGTGTTTCTGACGCTGCTGAACCCAAAGAAGTTGCTGATGCAGCAACTGTTGCATAAGGCGACGTTCTTTAAGCCAGACTTGCAGATCAGCAACAGCACAGTCTTGGAGATGATCAATACCAAAGGGACGGGGTTCATGACCATACAGTACTTCAAAAGGTGTGCATTGCAAAGAAGAATGAAAACTGGTATTATACCAATACTCTGCTAGAGGTAGCCAATCTCGCCATTTGCTGGGACAAGCATTGACAGTACACCTGAGGTAAGCTTCCAGACATTGATTCACTCTTTCGGTTTGGCCGTCCGTTTGAGGATGATAAGCTGTGCTCATTTGAAGTTCAGTGTTGGACAAACGAAAGAGTTCTTGCCAGAGATAGCTTGTGAAAATTTTATCTCTATCAGAGATCAAAGCAGAGGGCATACCATGCAGCTTGAAAATATTATCCACGAAATGCTTGGCAATTTGCAAGGCAGTGAAAGGGTGAGTTAAAGGTATGAAATGGGCATACTTGGAGAATTTATCCACAACTACTAGAATGCAGTTGCATCCCTTAGATAAAGGAAGACCCTCAATAAAGTCTAGACTCACTGTTTGCCAAGCCTGAGAGGGAACAAGTAATGGTTGAAGTAAACCTGGATATTTCACCCTTTCATTTTTTGCCTTCTGACACACCAAGCATTGAGCTACAAATTCTTTAACCATCTTCTTCATTCCATGCTAAGCAAATAGTTTTTTGATTTTGGTATAAGTGACCAAAAAACCTGAATGACCACCAATAGCTGAACTGTGCAAGGCAGACAGTATTTTCTGTTGCACAACTGGACTACTAGCCACCCATATCCTATTCTTGTATTTGATGACACCCTTATCCAGCACAAAATGACCTTGTATAGCAGACACACTGAGAGCTTGCAACAATTTAAGAGTAGGAGGATGAGTGCTATAAGAGTCTACTATCTGCTGAACCCAAACTGGTTGTGAAACTGAGAGGCCAAAGAGTTCAGAGCAGTGATTAGCAGCAAGTGGTAATCTAGACAAGGCATCAGTAGCTGAGTTATCAGTACCCTTCTTGTACATGATTTTATAATTGAGTCCCAACAATTTAGTGTATGCCTTCAGCTGCCATGGTGTAGTTAGTCTTTGATCTGTCAGATTTTCCAAACTTTTCTGATCAGTCTTGATAATAAATGGTGCATGTTGCAAATATGACCTTCAATGATCCACTGCCATTAAAATGGCTAGACATTCCTTTTCATAAGTTGCTAAACCTTGATTCTTGATGCCAAGAGCTTTACTGATATAAGCAATTGGGTGACCGTTCTGTTGCAAGACTGCTCCTATTCCTTTGGCCGAAGCATCAGTCTCAATAGTAAAAGGTTTAGCAAAATCAGGCAACTGTAGAACTGGTGCAGTAATAAGAGCCTCTTTTAGTTGCTGAAAAGCGGTGTCCTGAATAGATGTCCACTGAAATAGTGTACCCTTCTTGAGCATATCATTTAAAGGTCTTGCTATGACACCAAAATTTCTGACAAACTTTCTATAATAACCAGCTAAGCCCAGGAAACTCCTTACTTCCTTGACAGTAGTAGGGAGAGGCCACTGTTGAACATCTTGTATCTTTTTGGGGTCAGTGGCTACTCCTGATACACTAATGACATGACCCAAGTACTTCAACTGAGTTTGAGCAAAGGAGCACTTAGACAACTTGATCTGAATATGATGTTCTGTCAACAGATCAAACACAACTTGTAAGAGAGCTAAATGTTCAGACCAAGTCTTGGTGTAGACCAAGATATCATCAATGAAGACTACAACTCCTTTTCTCAATAGAGGTGCCAAAATGTAATTCATGGTTTGTTGAAAAGTAGTTGGTCCACCTGTCACCCCATATGGCATCACAGTATACTCAAAATGACCATTATGTGTTTGAAAAGCTGTCTTGTACTGATCAGCCTTTTCCATTAGGATTTGATGATAGCCTGCTGTCATGTCCAGAGAAGTGAACCATTGAGCACCAGATAATTCATCAAGGATTTCATCAATGACAGGTAAGGGATACTTGTTTTTAATTGTCAGAGCATTGAGTCTTCTGTAATCAACACACATTCGCCAATCACCAGTTTTCTTTTTGACCAAGAGCACTGGAGAGGCAAAGGGACTGGTGCTCTCTTTTATCAATCCATTCTGAAGTAACTCATTAACTTGTTTCTCAATTTCATCCTTTTGAGCAGGATTGTATCTGTAAGGTCTCAGTCGAAATGGTTGAGCACCAAGGATCAATGGTATAGTATGATTAATATATCTGGCAGGAGGTAATCCATTTGGCTTTTCAAAGAGGTGCTGATACTGAGTGATAAGACTGTGAATCTCAGCAGGCCAACTGCTAGATATGTGTGGAGAGTCCATCTGAAACACTTCAACTATACACCACAACTGATCCTGAATATGAAGTTGAAGCATTTCTGGAGCAGTGATAATTGGACATTGTTGCAGATTGGGTTGGATTCCCACAAGCTGAATTGGGTGACCCTGGAACTCAAAGGATAATAACTTGTTCTTCCAGTGTATTTCCATTGGACTATACTGTTCAAGCCAATCAATGCCCAAAATAATACCATAACAATGCAGTGGCAGGATTTTTAGATTCACCAAGAAATAATGGCCTTGAATATAAATAGGACAATGGAGTAGTTCATGAGTACATTGCAACAAGGTGCCATTGGCTACTCTAATTTGCACAGGGGTATTCAGAGGTGTCCAATTAGACAGTTTAGCAGCGAGAGATTGACTGATGAAACTGCTAGAACTGCCTGAATCCAACAGCAATAACACAGAATGCTGATACAACTCACCAACTAACCTGATAGTTTGCACGTTGTCAGTGCCTTGAACCGCTGACAATGAAAGTTGCATCAAATCTTCACCAGAATCAGAGTGATACTGATCTTGATCATTAGAGTTGTCAATAAGTTGCCACATCTCTTCCACTAGATTCAAGGACACCGTAGTGGAACACTTATGGTTGGGGTTCCATTTGTCTCCACATTTGAAACATAAACCCTTAGCTCTTCTATAGTTCTTGATATTCTGAAGCTTCTCCTCCACACCTGATAGCTTAGGTGGTTCGATAGTTTTGACAGGAGTTACATTGGACACTGCTGTTGCCACACGAGATGTATGAGGAGCTGACCATTGTGGCTTGAATGCTCGAGCTCGAAAACCCGAAGGTCCACTGGTACCGTGAGATTCGGTGGAAGACGAGTCTGATAGGACCTCTTCCTGCAAAAGGGCCAGAGAACAAGCAGCATCCATACTGGAAGGGCGATGAACTAAAACAACAACACGAATTTCATCTTTCAAACCATCTACAAACCTACTGGTGATAACATGAGGGCTAAAACATGGGTCATGAGCCAGAATCTGATTAATGAGTTCATCAAATTTTTCAATATACTCAGCTACTGTGGTGGTCTGTTTGAGTCTAAAAAATTGATGATTAAGAGAGTTTTGCTGATCACGCTCAAAGCGACTACAAATAGCTGCGCAGAGATCAGACCATGAGCAATGCTGCAATATAGATTCTACAGATTGTGACCAGAAAGCAGCCGAGCCTACGAAATTCATCACACCTATCTTCACCCACAAATGCTCAGGTACCGCATAAACATCAAAGTATGACTCACAATGTTTCTTCCACAATTTGGGACTCATACCATCGAACTTAGGAAACTCTTGCTGAGGAATAGCTTGATTCAGAGCAAAAAAATTGCTGAGCACTGAAATTGGAGGAAAATTGTGGAAGAGGTGAATTCGCACCTTTGACCGGGGTCGGCACGATGGTGGTGACCACCCTGTTGCCAATACCCCGGTGGCTGTGTTGTTCGCCGTGGCCTAACGGCCCTGAAGCCGCCTCCGATGAGGACGCAACCAGATGTGCAGTTGTCGGCTTCGTGAGGTCGATGAGGTCGTTGTCGAAGACCTGCTTTGCCCGATCTGTCGCAGGCGGGTGCGAAATCAGGTGATCCACCTTGAGGCGTAGATCCGTCACGGATTTGTGGAGGTCGTCGACCTTGGCATCGATCTGAGGCCGCCACACCCCCACATCCTGGAGCGTCGCGAGGTTGTCGGTCAGTGTGCGCTGAATGGACGCGTTCTGCGTTTGAAGCTCCTTCATCATATTGGCGAGGTCGCTCAACTGAATCTCCATATGGTTGATGCGTTTCTGATCACGAGTTTGATACTGAGGGCGGAGAAGATAATCAGGAATTGACGCTAGATTAATCGATTGGAAAGAACCAAGGATTTGGTGGAGAACAGGAAATTTGGTGGAGAACAAGGTGGAAACAGAATATCTGACCGTGGTGTTCCCGCCGACCAACTCAACCTCGGCGTAGACCTATGGGACCTCACGAACACCACGCGAGAGTGATGAACAGAGATTGACCTGTCATCGGGGATTACGAGTCCAGATCAAGACGAGAACGGCGACAACGTACCTGAACAGCGGCGAGGCACCGCCGAGCCCACCGGATCGGTGACCTCTGATACCAATTGTTAAGAGTTTACTTCTCCATGGTTCAGAAGATCACATAGTATGAGTGGATTAACAAGGAGTAGCAACTACATCGAGCAATCGCTCGCCTCTCACGCCTCCAGCACAGCCGGCCTATTCCTTCTTCTCTCCTCCCTTTTCCCCTGCCACACGTCTCCTTCCTCTTAACAATCGCTCACTCGATCGTTACGATGTCATCATGGGCCGACCTTCCACTCTGGGCCTTGATAGCGTGTACTGGGCTTGATCATCCGCCTGGGCCAGCCTGGTACCATTCTTCCTTCCTCCCCATCCGCCATCTTCCCGCCTTCACCCTTGTTGATATCAGCATCTCCAGGTATCATGACAGGCAGGAGGAGGATGTGGATGCTGTGATCGGAGTAGTTCACCATGACTGTAGCTAGTATCAGTGGGTGGTAACAATGCTAGCCCGATGTTTGAGGGAAAGACGAAAGAGGTGCACGCTATATAGAGAGAGAGACGTCCTTGCGCTGTTGCTATTGTGTGTGTCGATGAAGAGCAAATTAAGCTGAAGTATTTTTTTATTAATTAAAATAAAATTAAGCAAAAATATTATTGGTAGCGGAGGACAAGTGAGAATATGAGATATGACGTAGACGCACTGACATAGCGATGAGCTATAATTTGTAGCACCTGAGCTCATGAAATGATGTGATACAATAGACATGTGCAAACTCAAGGTATGGCTGTGGCCCAACCTTAGCATACTGAGAGCTCCATAACCGTAGCAACCCTAGCTCTTGTTTATGCGAGACGAATTGTAAAATTCTACTGAATCCGATATATTGTCCACTGGGTCAGAATAGCTCTTCACAGCCGGTTTAAAATACTCCGTCACTGTCGGATTTTGAACCGGCACAACCACACCGACAGTGATGAGGGTCGGCTATCACTGTCGGTTCCTACAAACCAGCAGTGTTCTTCAACTTCACTGTCACCAGTGCATCTAGATGATGAAATGGTATGTGTGACTAGAAAGTGGTATGTGTGACTAGAAAATAATATGTTATTATGTTCGCTTACTAATTCAGCACTGCCACCAGTGCATCCAGATAATGAAATGGTTTTTTCTTCGAGCTCCACACCTCGATCAGATTTTTAGCAAGATTGACACAAATGAAGATGAAATGGTTGCTGCAATCACAGAATCCTAATTATCGAATAATCTTAACGAAAAAAGAAGTATAAAATTAAAAGCCGAGAACACATACTCACAGTTGTAGGCTATAAGTATGTGGGTTTTGTTCTTCATCTTGAATTCATCGAAAACAACAATCAATCTCTCTTTTAGGTCTTCCACGTCACATCCATGGAGGTCTAAACATGTCTTCTCATTGACTCACAAGGGGTCCAAGAAGCCTATGTTATCCCATTTGCTTTTTAGTATGTAAAATTTTGCTATACACCTACATAAAATCATGGGAATTGCCCAAAAGTTAACAATTTGTGTCTCGAGAGAGTAGTTAATTATAATATCATGCATGCAGGGTACTTATATAGTACACAGCGTCAACATTTGTGAATCGAGAGAGCGTTTCTGGTATAGCTGGAATAAGCACTCCCACTCGACATCGAACTTCTCTTCTTCAGGATAATGAAAAACATGTGGCGAATGGCTAATAACCTCAAAACCAAAGTCCTCCGTCTCTGTTGCTTGAGCCATATAATATTCATACAACTGGCGCATATATGTTGTCAAATTTTTATACTCGTCATCGGGAACCAAAAGATTACCCCTTTCATACTTCATTACCGATGTTCTCGTCCCTTGTACATCATAACTGATATCCGTGGCCTCTTCTATGGTTAATTCGGGGTTGTCTTCGATGTACTTCTGTATCTTTTTTAAATCTTCATTGTGTATTTCATTGGCTCTTATTGTAGCGTACTGATTCTGTGTTTGCCTTTCGAATTCGGACTTCAACAAACATGGAGGCAGTGAGACATAGAGATTGAAGAAACTAACACAATCTTCCTTTGAGATGTGTGCTGTAAATTTTTCTTCAATCAAGTTTATAACGCTGCCACTGAACGACCTTTTTCTTTTTTGTTGGTCCACTTTGGGAGCGTTAGCGACCGAATCCAAGGACCATTTTTGCGACTACGAGGATGCCTTTGATCTTATTTTGGGCTGAGGTGGTGGAGGAGGAGGATGACGATGAGAATTCTGTTTTCCCGGGGCTAATGAAGATGGAGGACGAGTCTTCTCTTTTCTCAGGGCTGATGAAGATGGAGTCGGACGAGGAGGAATAGAAGGAGACCTCTGTCTTCTCAAGGGTGATGGTAAGGGATGAGGAGGGGAGTGATCTCTGTTGGGAGATGGGGAGTGATCATCGCGGGTGGGTGAAGACTCGCAGTCGTCCTCATCATCAGAGGACAATTGGTGGTCAAGTTTAATGAAGCGCTTGCGCCAAGCCACTTGCGAGTCCTTGTTATGACCAAGTTTTGGCCTGTCTTCCACTGTGGGGTACTCAATGTGTATCTTGTTATACTTCTTATCAAGTATTCCATCAATGGTGACGCGAGCATACTCCTATGAAATTGGACGACCATTAATGGTCCCGTCTCCCGCAGGCCAGGCCTAGCCAAGCGCCACCTTGTCCTTTGTCCATTCCTGATGGATGTATAACTTGACATTGACGGGTTCAGTGATGTCGTCCACCGGATGAGGCACATTCGCATCTTCTTCGTCGAGCGGGGTCGATCCGCAGCTGCTGCGACCCCTAAACTATGGGCTAAAGGCAGTAAGAGTGGGGTTTTGTGGTACTCCTGACCCTTTGGACAGCAAAATTTGCTGGACTCGTGCTTCAATAGTCGCCTCAATCCGTGCATCCATTCTGTCTTCCATCTCTTTTAGTCGCCTCAAACACTCTACCTCCTGATCCGCTCTACCCCTCGAGCGGCTCCGGTAAGTGTGAGATTCTTCGGGGAATGCTAGTTTCTAAGGAACAACACCGGTTCCTCTAGTGCAACCAGGGTGCTCCTTGGTTTTGAGTGCTTGGGTGAGCATGTCTTTCTCCCTATTAGAAGTGTGAGTCCCTTGCCTCACCTCCTCAGTTACCTGAGAGATCCTCTGGATGAGTTCGCTCATGGGTGGATTTGTGGAGCTAAATCTCTCGTCCTCGGTGTGGCGAACATTCCTCCTCATACAGTATAATACCGATCTTGGCTCCTAATGGGCGGTCTCAACCTGAACGCCTTCCTCAGCAAGGCGATCCATCTTTTCAAGTTATGCTTCAAATTCTAGCATCTTTTTGGAGTAGCCACGAGAGCCGAGATGATGAGGATTCGTCGCTTTCTGTGAGTTCTCCTTATTCTTCCTACTCAGTTCTAAGTACTCCTCGGATAACCTGTATTCCTTGAAATCCTACCAAAAGTCCTTCTGCTTGCTAAACTATCCACCATCGAAATCTAACTCTTTATTTTGGAGGACAAAATTCTTGTACAATGTCCCCTTGAAATTCTTGAAGCATGTCCCCATGATTTCTTTTGCTTTTTTCTTGACTACCTCCTTGTCATACTTCGTTGGGAAAGTGAAATACTCTGGGATCTTGATATCCCATATGTAATCCTTCTCACTTTCGAGAACCCTCCATGAGTCATTATATTTTTCATTCCACTTCCTGTACCTAATCGGGATGAAGTCCCTTACAAGTAACCCGAGGATAGTCTTGTATTTGGTCAAAGCTATAGGCGGTGAGAGTGGATCCCCAAATTTATTGAACTCAGTGATGTGGTAGTGTGCATTCCTACCAACAGGAACCTTTGACATGCCTCACTTGGATCTAGCCTTCCCGCTACCCAAACCCTCTGGATCCTCGGCCGACGGAGGCTCCTGCTAGAGACACCAAGTAAGTTATGACTCTCTCAATTGATTAGCGTGTGTGGCTACATAGTCACATGATACCAAAGTTACCTATCCATCTTGGTCATTTTGACTTAGCTCGAGCAGGCCGGACGGGGTCCATGGCTACTCGTTCTCACCATCCTGATTGACACCATCACCATTTATCGGATCATGCGGCTCTCCCGTCCCAGCGATATCAGCCGCTTCTTGTTGCCGATCTGTTCTTTGTCGACAGGGTAACAGGCGACGATGAGTCATGGCTGTGACACGATCATGGTTAGTTTTGGCTGTAGACAACTACTAATAGCATATGTTCATATTATATATATATATAATATGTTTAATGCAAAGTCTAATAATAAGTCCACATACAACAAAGTCAAATAATAGCATATGTTGACCTAGAACAAATTCATTGTTTGATTGACCACATACAACAAAGTCCACCTACTGTTCTACAAAACTAAGCATACATCTTTCAAATAAGAAAAGCAATGACCATAGCCATAAATAAAAGCATGACATCTTTCCAAGACCAAAGAGCAATTCTCCTAATCTTCACATCTCTGGCGAGTGGCTTCTCTTCAATCTCCAGTGCCAGCGGATGGCCATGATTTGCATTCATTGGACCATAGTAGACCGGTTGCCCATGGTTTGTAAGGTAGGCCGGATGACTATAGTAGGCCCTCAAAGCTTCAGCTTCCGTGTTGTATTTTTTGTGCAAATTACTAGGGTAGCGATTGACTTGAGCATAGCAATCTTCCCAAGTTCGATAAATCCTAGGCACGTGACCAACATGCACTACATACCATGCCATGGTTGCCTATACATTTAAGTAAATTAGGTTGTTATTCAAACATGATGTATCAGAATATTAAGTTCACATATAGCTAATGAACAAATATTATCTAGATAAAGAGGCATGGAGCAAGCTACATTGTGAGAGGAGGTACTTGCAGCATCTAACAAATTAAATTGTTCTTCATGATTTTAGCATGAAAAAGCTTGTCCAACACCGGTTGAGATGGTTTGGACATGTCCAACAAAGACCTTTAGATGCACTGATGCGTAGTGGAATTCTAAGCCAGGATAGTAATATGAAGAGAGGTAGAGGAAGACCGAAGTTGACTTGCGTAGAGGCAATAAAAAGAGACTTGAAAGGATAGAATATACCAAAAGACTTAGCCTTAGATAGGAGTTCTTGGAAAACAACAATTCACATGCCTGGACCTTGATTGCTTCTACTGGGTTTCAACTCTAGCCTACCCCAACTTGTTTAGGACTAAAGGCTTTGTTGTTGTTGTTGTAACAAAGACTTTCTCGTCTAAAAAGTTAAAATAGTTGTTTAAAATGCCAACATTCAATACAGAACCAAAATTATATAGGAACCATGGAGTGGTCCAACATCTGGTTAAGCTCATTCTAATTGCAAGCCTTTATAGGCTGTATACTGATGCACAATACCAAAATTATATAGGAACCATGGAGGATCATGCAAGCTGAATGATTTTGATAGCTATGGTT